CGGGGCTCCTCCCGTCCTCTTTTTTGCTCGCTGAAATATGGTAACCCTAGTTTTAAGTGAGGCTTAACCTGGCTTCAATGCATTTAGGGGTTTGCACTTGTGTAAATCCATTTTAAATTGATTTAGTTAAACAGGTGCAGATTGTCTAATATAGATACTCTACTTTAAAATTAAGGGCTTATCAGTTGTTTGTTTTTACATTAGATCACCCCCCATCTCTCTAATATGTCACAACCCCAGGTCAAAACAGCCCTCTCCTCCTCCCCCCAACACTGGGGGAAAACTGATTTAACTCTGTAATTTGAGGATCAGGCCCATAGCTAGCGCTAAGAGTTGTTTTTGAAGTTCTTCATATCCTAGTTCTATCAAGGCTGGTAGAATAGAGGTTTCAGACCTGCTTCTATCTCTGAGTGTAGCGCATGCACCCTCGAGCTTATTTTAGTATTTGGCTGTTTCAGCTGAAGGCCCAGCTTTGCCAAGTGTCATCAATATTTTTCAGAATCTCTGCTACCACCCTTCCTGCATGACAATGATTACAAACTAATGATATTTTACTTATCTGTCTAACAAAACCCAACCCTCTCCCTTGGCAAATGAGAGAATAGAACAATTGCAATATATTTGTCAGAGACTTGGGTTGAATTTCCTACTCTGCAACTTATTTTATTTGCCAGTGAAGATTCCCTGTATGTAGAGTGCTGTAATAGAAACATAGGATACAGTCCTGATATATTAATGACTCCCTAAATTGTTTTTATGGGGCTTCGCAGATTCTTGCAGTGTTACCAGGGAGTGGAATGTAGCAGTTTTGTTTTTTGTGGGGGAGGGGGATTCTGGCCCCCAGGAATTCCTGCTGATCCAGTGACATTTATGGATGCCTGCAAACATCAGCAGAGTGGCCCTCATTACAGATCATGTATGTCCAGCTGGGGCCCACTTGCACTGAAGTTGGGTTAGATATTAGGAAAAACTTTTTCACTAGGAGGGTGGTGAAGCACTGGAATGGATTACCTAGGGAAGTGGTTGAATCTCCCTCCTTAGAGGTTTTTAAGGTCAGGCTTGACAAAGCCCTGGCTGGGATGATTTAGTTGGGGATTGGTCCTGCTTTGAGCAGGGGATTGGACTAGATGACCTCCTGAGGTCCCTTCCAACCCTGATATTCTATGATTTTAAGTTTCTTTGAGAGACCCCAAACTGATTGTAAGTTCTATGAATAGGTTTTACCAACCCAGTAACAAATGTGAACTCCTGAAGCACTATAAGAGTCTTACCATGGAGTCACAGTTAGACTGGAATGCCCAAGGGGACTATCTTGTCACCCAAGCAAGCTGGACTTAGTGATAATTGGTTGCTATACACCAAAGATCACAAAATATTCACGTTACTCCCAGTTCCAGGAGACCAGTCACTTACCCCAGATCAGTTTGTACCTGAGATCTCACACCAAAGATAATGCTTGTAGTTTACTACAGGATTGGCTATCTACAGATTTATTAACTAAGAAAAGAAGTAAGTTATTACAGAGCTAAAGCAGGCAAGCATATATACACAAATGAGTTGCAGTCTATGGGTTTTGAAAGGTGACAGAGTTATAGTAATCTGTCGGCTCTGAATGCCTTTTAGGCCTAACTCAGGTTGACCCTGGGATCTCTGCTTCTGTTGCATAGCTCCTCGGCCCCATGAGAATCCAAACAGCAAAAAAGATGGGAAAACATTTCTTGTTTTTATTTTCTTCTTCCAGAACTCAAGCCGCTTCATGGATGCAAGGGGGCAATTAACCAAGTCTTTGTATTGTGATGTCCCACAATGGCTCACTTAGTTTTAATAACCCTTCTTGATGGGCAGGAGACGATCCCTCCTGACTGGGTTCACAATTTCAGAGCAAACATTTTTTAGTTATACAGCAAAACATTAGATATTGTATAGCAGGTGATAAAGAAATTATAATTGAGATTAATGCATGCAACAACGTAGAAGTATTTCATAAAGTCTAAACACATTGTTATAAGTCCAATACCCATCTTAACTATCCTAACACACAGGTGAAATTGACTGGCTTCCAGCAATGAGTTTGTCAGTGTTTGGCTGAGTCCTAAAGCCTTGGCAAGAGCGGTCACCTAGTCTGCCAGAATCACAGCCAGCTCTGTTACGGACTGTGACTTTAAGTTAAGTGTCCATGTATTTTGGGTGCTGATCTTGACCCTGATTTTCAGCAATGCTGAGCGGCCACAGCTCCAGGTAATGGCAGCAGGAGTTGTGTGTGCTCAGCACCTCTGCCAATCAAGTCCTCGTGTCTCAAATTAGACATTCACAAATGAAGGCACCCAAAATCAGAGTCCTCTCTTTTGAAAATGTTAGTCTTGGTCTCTGTCCTAGTTCTCCCATTTTAAAAATGGAGAAACTAAATCGAGAGGGGTCAAAACTCACACCCTTGATGTGAACATCTCTGAACTCCAGGGGTGTTTGAAATTTTAGTTCAAGATTTGGATTCAAATTTTGCAAATGGCCCCAATCTCTGTCACAGACACTGGATCCAAACACTTCTAAACTTTGGCATCCAGACCCACATTTTACCGCCTTAACCTCTCTCTTAGAATAATAATAATAATAACTTTTCTCTCAGCTGGTTGTGAGATAGGAGCACAGGGGTGGGAATCAGGAGACTTGGATTCTAATCCTTGTTTTGCCATTGACTCTGACTTTAGCTTCACTCTGACCTGCTAACACATGTTAAAACAACAACTGCCTTGGCAACACTAGAATTTTAATACATTAGCTAATACAAGGTGTGTGTTTAAAAAAACAAACCAACCCTTTCCTTCTCCCCTCCCCCCCCCCCCCACATGACCTTGGATGTTACTTCTCCTCTGTGACTCAGGTTCTATGTTGGTAAAATGTAGTAAATAATATTTTTCCTTTGTAAAGTGCTTTGAGATCTACAGTTGAAAAGACCCTGTATAAATTCTAGGTATTACTGGTCTTCACAAAGAGTTCTGAAGATGCAAAGTGCTAAGTTTTCTCTGATAAAGGAGTAAAACATTTATAAGAATGAACTATCCATGGCACCCAACCCATTCTCTGTGTGCAGCTGTTAAACCAGCTGCTCCTAGATAACCCTTATCTGATTTGTTTATTTTACATTCTTCTGGTTGGTTGGTTTTTGATGCTTAATTCCATGTTATTGTTTGAAGGTCTCAGGACTCTCCAACACCAAACTCCCCATCCTGGGGAGAAAGGGGCCAAATCCATTAATGATATAACCACATTGAAGCTGTCCGTCGGTTCATTGTTTTGATTCCACTCCAGTGCTTGTTTCTCTGGTTCCTCTGTAATATTCCTGGGCTTTGAAGTTTCAGTTTCAATAACATTATTTGCAGGGCAAGGTAGACAAGCAGTGCCATGGTTAATACATCAAGTACCTAGATACCATGGTGATAGGGGATCAAAGTGTCTGTGTCTAGGAGCAATTTCGTATTTGCATTGTGATTGATATGCTAAAACCCGATGGGGAGGAATGGCGAGTACCTCCTTCGCTTTGTTTCTTGATGCTGATGATGAGCATCTCCAAAGCTAGGTTAACAAGGCAGCAGTGCCTTTGTTTAAACAATAGAATCTGCCTGTACAAGTAGAAAAGGCAGTTTTATTAAACGAACGCTTAGTATCTATAGAAAACACAAACAAATAACATGTTAAGGGCAATTAGATTGCAGCAAATCCTTGATTATATGTTTTAGTCCCACTCAAGTTACTGAGCTCACTGCAGGAGTAGTTGGGTGAAATTCTATGGCCTGTGTTACACAAGTCAGACTAGATGATCTAATGGTCCCTTCTGACTTTAAAATCTGCTTCTTCCAAAAGCTTTCCATGGAACTGTATTTGCACCGGACAATATACCTCTTCACCTCCCCTTCCTTCCCTGCCTCCGTTTTTCAGATTTTCTTCTTTTCCCTGGCACACAAGTATGAGCTGGGGTGATCAGATGTAAAGAGGTTCATGAGAATGGTGAATAGAATGTAGGGTACAATCCTGCACTGGCCAAAGGGGTGGTCTAGCTACTTCTTTTCCCCCCGTCTCTGATTAGGGATCTGAGGGGCTACCGTCACTTAGATAACCATTCTGTGATACTGAGGCAGGCAGATCCCTGTTGTGGAGTGGGGAATGCACAGCAGGCCAGATGGCAACATAGGGTTTATAGTTAACTTCCAAGTTGTGCTGTTTGTTTGGTTGTGTTCAGTAGCTGATGTTTATTTTCATCCCCTTGTACAATATTCTTATTGTCTGTTGCAAAGCGTGGTAGGACAGGGTGGATGAAGATTATAGTGAGGCTGCAGCCACAAAAAACAGTCACCACCCACAGAACCCAAAAAAAAAAGTCTTCAGCTCTGAGTCTCTGTCCATGTGTGCTGTGAATGTAGGCTGAGAGGCCCTGTCTGCAGTGTAAATATAACAGTCAGAGGGCCTGGTTATAAGCTATAGTCCACAACCCAGTTATAAGCAATAATGTAGTGTTCTTCATTGTCGTCCTAACCAGGTTAAGGCCATGGGCTCTCTCTATCATAAAGTCCACTTCCTTGGTTATAACTATAGTGTAGACAGGACCTGAGGTGGAATGGAGTCATGACACAATCTGAAGTATTTGGGAACTAAGATTCCCAGGATCCATGGCACATGAGGAGAAGGATGGTCTAAAGCACTATTGGGGTTCTATTCCTGGCACTTCCATGATCTCAGAGGAGGTGGGAGGAAGACCAGTTGACAGTTTCTGGGTAAAAATATAAGTGGCAAAAAACAGAAGTGATGTCATGGTAGAAGTTTACCACAGACCACCAAATCAGAAGAGGATGTGGATTTCGAGAATACACAACAGAAATATTGAAAACACAAGACCTGGTAGTAATGGGGGACTTTAGCTACCCAGACATCTTTCAGGAAAATAATAAAGCAAAACACACAATTTGCAGTAGGTTCCTAGAATGTGACATATTGAACAACTTTGAGACAAAAAATGGATGAAGTAACCAGGGGGCCAACCATTTTAGACTTGATTCTGACCAACAGGGAGAAATTGGCAGCAAATCTGAAGGTGGAAGGCAAATTGGATGAAGAGAGAATCATGAAATCTATCACTTCATTCTAAGAAAAAGAAAGTATGAGAGCAGCAGAATAAGGATAATAGACTTCACAAAGGCAGACTTTAACAGATTCAGAATTGGTAGGTAAGGTCCAGTGGGAAGAAAAATGTTGGGGGGGGGAGGAGCTCAGGAGAGCTGGCAGTTTTTCAAGGAGAAGATATTAAAGGCACAACTGCAAACTATCCTGATGTGAAAAAGAGATAGGAAGACTAGTATGAAGTCAGCATGGCTCATCGGGAGCTCTTTCGTGACCTGAAAATTAAAAGGGAGCCCTACAAAAAGTGGAAACATGGAAAAATTGCTAAGGGAGAGTGCAAAAGACTAGCACAAGCATTTAGGGACAAAATCAGAAAGGCTAAGGCACCTTCCAAAGGATATAAAGGGCAATATGAAGATGTTCTCTAAATGCATTAGGGGCAAGAGAAAGATGGAGAGTGCAGGTCCTGTACTGAGCTGGAAAGGAGAGCTAATAACTGATGACATTAAGGAGGCTGGGGTGTTTAATGCATATTTTGCTTTAGTCTTCATTAAAAAGGTGACTGACTAGGTACTCAAAACAGTTAGGGTGACCAGATAGCAAGTGTAAAAAATTGGGACAGGGGGTGGAGGGGTAATAGGTGCCTATAAAATCGGGACATCTGGTCACCCGACACACAATTAATATTAACAAGGGGAAAGGAATGCAATCCAAAACAGGGAAAGAACAGATTAAAGAATATCTAGATAAGTTAGATGTATTCAAATTCTCAGGGCCTGATAAAATTTATTTTAGGGTACTTCAGGAACTAGCTGAAATTATCCTGGAACTGTTACCAATTATCTTTAATAACTTATGAAGGATGGGTGAAGTCCCAGAGGACTGGAGAAGGGCAAACATTGTATCTGCCATTAAAAAGGGGAACAAAGAGGACCTCGGGAATTATAGACTGGTCAACCTAAGTTCAATACCTGGAAAGATACTGGAACAAATATTAAATAATGAATTTGCAAGCACCTGGAGAATAATAGGATTATAGCAAATCCATGCTGGCTATTCCTTATAACAAATCATGCCAAACCAACCTAATTTCCTTCTTTGACAGGGTTATTGGCCTACTGGATGAGGGGGAAGAAGTAACCATGAGACATCGTGATTTTTTTAGTAAGGCTTTTGATGCAGTCCCATGTGACATTCTCATGAGCAAACTAGGGAAATGTGGTCTAAATGAAATTACTATAAGGTGTGTACACAACTGGTTGAAAGACCATGCTCAGAGTAGTTGTCAATGGTTCGTTGTCAAACTGGGAGTGTGTAGTGAGGTCCCACAGGGGTTGGACCTGGGTGCAGTACTAGTCAATATTTTCATTAGTGACTTACATAATGGAATGGAGAGTGCTTATAAAATCTGCAGATGTGACACCAAGCTGGGAGGGGTTGCAGGCACTTTGGAGGACAGGATTAAAATTCAAAATGACCTTGACCAATTGGAGAATTGGTCGGAAATCAACAAGATGAAATTCAATAAAGTGAAAATCTGTACTTAGAAAGAAAAAAATCAAATGCCCAACTACAAAATGGGGAGTAACTGGCTAGCTAGTAGTACTGCAGGAAAGTATCTGGGGAGTTATAGTGGATCACAAATTGAATACAAATCAACAATATGATGCAGCTGCAAAAAAGTCCAATATCATTCTGGGGGTGTATTAACAGGAGAGTCAAATGTCAGATACAGGAGGTAATTGTCCTACTCTACTTGGCACTGATGAGGCCTCCTCTGAATCATTGTGTCCAGTTCTGAGCACCACACTTTTAGGAGAGATATGGACAAATTGGAGAGAGTCCAGAGGAGAGCAACAAAAATGATAAAAGGTTTACAAACCTGACCTATGAGGAAAGGTTAAAATAAATGGGCATGTTTAGTCTTGAGAAAAGAAGACAAGGGGGTGACCTGATAACAGTTGATAAATATATTAAGAGCTGTTATAAGAGGACGGGATCAATTGTTCTCCATTTCCACTGAAGATAGAAGTAGTAATGGACTTAAAATCTCTTTTGCTGCGGGTTAAGTTACATATTAGGAAAATCTTTTTAATGATGAAGGGTGCTTAAACTCTGGAATAGGCTTCCAGGGAGTTCGTGCGATCCTCATCATTGGAGGCTTTTAAGAACAGGTTGGACAAACACCTGTTGGGGATGGTCTAGGTTTACTTTGTCCTGCTTCAGCATTGGGTGGGGTGGGGTGCTGGACTTTGACCTTTTGAGGTCCCTTACAGGCCTACATTCTACGATCTTGATGTATGACCCTACATAAGTCATGCCCCTTTTGTGGGTCTGTTTCTCCCACTGACAATGTGGAGATACCTCCCCACGTTACAATGGTGGGGTTGGAAGGCTGACTTAACTAATATTAAGTGTTTTGGTAACCTTGGATGGAAGGCACTAAAGAGGAACAAAACTATATATTTACCTCTCCTCTTCTCCTTCCTGCTGTTCCTGGGCCCTGTAGCAGCACCATTCAGCCAGCTGCAATCAGCTGTGTGGGGCTCTGGCTGAAGCTCTGTTTTCTGCTGCCTCCCAAGAATCATGTGGCAATTCTCATCTGGTGACACACTACCATGATCTGGCCTGTGAGTGTACTCTGGCTTCTGTTCCCATTGCTTTCATCATTTTGCTGTGTCCCTCGGTTCCCATATCCATTTAAAGGGGACAATATCTCTTATCCACCTTTTAAAAGCACTTTGAAATGTGTAAGTATATTGTGAACAGATCTGGGTGGCTTTCCAGTGTCAGTACAACCTCTGGGTGTAACAGGAACTGAAACACGCTTTGGCAGATGCCTGGGAACTTGATCTCTGAGAGATAAGCACAGAACTGAACTAACAGTGATTTTTCGGGTGCTCTAGATTTTTTTCAGTCCGAAGTGGTCAGAGGCTCCCTGCCCCTATGTGGTGCATATCTCGCAGTATAAACACATTTATTCTGAGTCATAGACACCCAGTGGACTTGGGCCAGGGCTGGAGTGAGAAGCTATTTTAATAGCTAACAGAGTGGAGTCAAAAAAGAGGGAGACCTGCTGAACATGCGTTTTCCAGGAGACTAACTAATGTTAGTTGAGAGAACCACTTGGAAAAGGGTTAACTTCAATTTATATAGGAAATATGGCCAGCTACTCATCACAGGAATGCAGCATCCCGAACCATCCAAGTGGCCAAACATTTACCAGGTCTTAAGTCTTCCCTCAAAAAGGGGGGTGGGGGGAATGCATCTTAATTTCTCAGTATTCTCTCACCAACAGAGCTGAGGAAAGTTCTTTTACAAAAGTGTTAGTTTGATTTTAGTGAGCTCTCGCACTATGGATCACGCTAGCCTGGTGGCAAAAGGGTCCCTTCTGTGCCATATGGGTGTCATGTATATGCCAGTCTCTAGTCGACATCTAATGTTACATTGGTTAGTATGCATTATTTAATGTTGCTGTTAACACTGGAACAAGTGCTCAAATACCATG